CCACGCTTAGAGCCTCGGCGAGCCTAACCGCGCTGGTCCAACTTTCTTCTCCGCCGAAAACAGTAACAACTATGGGCTCATTCCCGCCTGGAAGGGGGCTGAGGGGAACCACCCGACACACGCGCGCACGTCGGCCTGGGACCCGCTCGGACGAGGCTGCTAAATCCACAGGGCCAACGGAGTTTTAAGTCGCCCAGGACTAGGATGACGATCTGTACTTTCAACGCACGGACGCTTGCATCGGAAGCTCACATCGAAGATCTGATGTTGCAAGCCAGGAAGATCAAGTACGACGTCATCGGACTGACCGAGACGAGGAGGCATCGCCCGCTACACGCCGTGTACGAGACTGGAGAAGAACTGTTCCTTGGAACATGCGACAGCAGAGGCGTTGGCGGTGTGGGCGTCCTCGCTCAACACGCCGAAGGCACTTGGCCATCGAAGAAGACATCGATTCGTAGAAAGTCTGACTTTGACGCCCGCAACATCGGCGACGCTTTGCGATCTGAGAACGCATGTGGTTCAACTCCAGCGTTCGACCATCTTCGTCGCCTCCACGCCACCCAACATCAACTACCGACGCAGACGCTCGCAGCATCCGAAGCGTTAGACTATATGGAATTGGAGGAAGTTGCTACAAGAGAAGAGTCATGGACCTTCTTCCAAAGGGTCAGTCGTCGGTGGATGTGTCAGACGGGGAGGCTAAGATCCGGACCAACAGAAGACACGGCTGCCAAGAACTTCAGGCATCGGAAATCACCTGGAAGCGGAGTGGAATGAGCAGGGTGAAAGGCGTCTGACGCTGGTTATCATGTCGACCCACACCCCTCATGTAGACTCGCCACGTTCCAGAAGCGCCTACTCTCATAACGCTGGACATTGGAGTCATCACTGGTGGAACAAATTCCATAACGAGATCGACCACATCATCTGCAATCGAAGGTTTTGCCTGACCGATGTCGCTGTTGTCCCTAAGTTCTACACGGGATCCGACCATCGTCTCCTTCGCGCAAGATTCCGCTTTTCGATGCGGCGAAGGAGAGAGAGCCGCAACCAGTTCAAGAAGCCGAGCCCGCCGAACGAACCAAGCCATCGAACCTGGGATCACTATCATTCCTCTCCGCTAGGCTCTCGGAAGGATCTCTGTCATTCGGACAACATCGACCGAGGATACGCAACGGCCTTGTTGCACATCTTCACGACTTGCGGCCCCAGAGGTCAGAGTTCGCAGATGACTGAGAGCGTCTACCGGGAGAACTCTCGAGCTGATTACAGACACAAACGGGAGGCAGACCAGCCGCAGGCAATTACACAGCATGACGCCATAGATTAGCGAAGAACTAATAAGAACAGAGAAAGCGATAAAGGAAGACCATCAAAAGGAAAGAAAAGAGCAGGCAGTGCGTGGTGACGCCGCAGAGCGCTGGGAAGAGCCCGTAGTGCGCAACGCCCGCCGCGACTTCGCCAACTGTAAGACTAAGATGACCGCCCTCCGACGTCCGGATGGAACAATCACCGCATCCAGAAGGGCAATGGAGAAGGTCATCCAACGACTTCTACTCGGATCTCTTTGCACACGCACCACGTCCACCATGCAACCATAACCGCTTGGAGGCAGGGTGGATATGTGTTCTAGGAAAAAAACAGACAGTTCTCTCTTCGAAAGATCCGACACCCATCTACGTCGGTGAAGAAAATCGTAACGGCACCATCGGTCCCGACAGGATCAGAACACCGAAACATCTGAAGAATCACCTTCCGACCAGTTCACGTCAAGACTGGGGGGCGGTGGCTGGACGTGCTTCACGGCGGGCTTTGGCCTGTCGGAATGCGAAGTAGCGCGGGGCGACGGGCTCGGTGGAAGAAGACCAGGGCAGGAGACTGGTTGCTGTGGGGTACAAGAAGGGAGATCTGTACGACATTGGCAATTATCGCCCAATCTGCCTGCTGTCTGTAGTCTACAAACTCTTCACACGAGTCATCCTGAATAGGATTGGCAGAAACTAGACGAAGGACAGCCATGCGAGCAAGCAAGCAGTTTCGAAGAGGATTCAGCACGATCGATCACATCCACACGGTAACGAAGCTCATTGAAGTATCGCGAGAGTACAAGATGCCGTTATGTCTCACGTTTATCGACTTGAAGAAAGCCTTCGACTCCGTTGAGACAGAAGCGGTTATCGAAGCCCTGGGCAACCAGGGTATTCCTACTCAGTACATCAGGATTCTTCGTGAGCTCTACAGCAACTTCACGACCAAGATTTCACCATTCTACAAGGAGATCATCATTGATGAGAGGGGTCCGACAGGGCGACACCATCTCGCCCAAGCTCTTCAGCGCCTCTCTCGAGAACGTCATGCGTCAACTGGAATGGGAAGACATGGGAGTGAAGATCGACGGTCGGCCAACGTACAGGCGCCATCTCCGCTTTGCTGACGAACATCTATGATAAACGCCAACACATCGAGGCAAGCGGACCGCGATGCATACTGAATTCGACTGGCGGGGCGGTGTGAAGAATCGGTCTACGGCTGAACCTAACGAAGACGATGTTCATGAGAAACGGATTGGTATCTGATGCCCCATTCACGCTCAACGGAACGACCATCTCTGAATGCTCTAGCTATGTGTACCTAGGTCGTGAAATCAATATGATGAATGACCTAGCTCCAGAGCTGAGCAGGAGGAAGCGAGCGGCTTGGGGAGCCTTCAAGAACATCGAGGGAGTAGCGAAGAAGACGAAGAACACCAAGCTCCGTGCCCACCTCTTCGATTCCGCGGTCCTTCCTGCCTTGACGTACGCCTCAGAGACTTGGACTCTACGAAAGCAGGATGAGCATGCGGTCGGTGTTATTCAACGCGCCATCGAAAGGGCGATGCTCGGAGTTTCCCGCTACACGCAAGAGAGAGGTGAGGAGGGGGAAGCCGGAGCTCGCGGCGACGTGGCCGCCAACGATCGAAGATCAGAGACTGGCCACCGTCTGGTGGCAATAGAACTGGGGACGGTGAGCGGCGCGGAGGGGTTGGGGGTTGTGGGGAAATGGGGTGGTGGGGTGTGGGTACGTGCGGGTGGGCCGCCGCATTTGCAAGGCTTCGAAGATCAGGTGGGCTGACACGTCATGCGTTTCGGAGGACGCAGCCTGGCACCGCCAAGCGTGTCCAACGACTGGATTCCACGGGATGTCAAAGCGAACGCCTGGAAGACCGCCTACGCGATGGTCAGACTTCTTCGTGAAAGCTCTGAACGAATGGTATGAAGTTCATCGTGTCCCTCGAGCTGAGAGAGTTCATTGGGCAACTCTTGCACGTTGCAGGGACGAATGGAGACGTTACTGGCGCCCGCTCGAGGAACTCGATGATCAACGGGAGCACAGGTGATACAGGTGAAGTCTACATTTGAAGCAATAGGTGGCTGATTCGAAGAAATAAAGATATCTCGGTAGTAGTGTTCGGCTCGGAAGGGGCATTTTGCATTCTCGCCATTAGTTGGTCCATTTGATCGTGGGAATCAACAGTTTTTCACAAGGTCACCTGAACTAGCTAAGAACCATTTAGCGCCGCCACCGAGTCGAACTACGTCATTATAGAGGACCAAATGACATTGGATCACATGTCGACAGAGGAAGTATGTTGTTGGTTCACGTAAGTGTACTTCCTAGCTAGCTGACTTGGCACAATAGCAGCCGGCCACTTCAACTCATCGAGTCCTGGAGCGAATGCCGCGCGTGTGAACTCACGCCTATTTGCACCACTTTGCAACGCCTATTTCTTCGTTCTCAAGGCGAACTAAAACTGATGACCTGCAGCTTGTCGATGGAGGCGTATATTGGACACATCAGGTAAGAAGCGGTAATGAACATGTGCCACGTTGCAATCCAACCCCCATCCCCCCGTATAATCAAAGCTATGGGCGCTTCACTGGGCTAATTTTCCTCCTGGACAACGAAGCAGCGGCTATAGCTCCTATGTAGAACTGACAACGTCACTCACCCACATACTCTCATCTGGGAATCCCTACTTATGCGTACCCTTTTACGGTCACGACACAAAAAAACAATAATCCTAAAGGTAGGCATCCTTACAGATCACTAGTATTTATTCATTTCAAAGCCAACAAACCAATAAACAGCGGGTTTTGCAAGCATAATACAATTTACACTAGCCGCAGATGTGCGTTCATACTTCGCGTCAGCGATCCCTAAGTTTCCCAATCACTCAAGACGTTCAAAACGCTGCCGTGAGCTCAAGACGCTTACGCAGAGTATGTACGCACTCCAAAGTATACCAGACTGCTTAATCATCGGCGACGCAGGGATATACCGAAATTTTCTGCTTCGCATCTCACTCCTGATTTCCCTTGAACAACGGTTTGCAGCCTTATGCGCTATGGAAATCGCAAAGGAAATCACTGATAACTGCATAGGAAACTAACACTATAAGTTGCGGAGTCGATACAATGACATCTTTCGCATCAATGATCTCCCGAAGAGGGATATTGTCGGAACCACAAACTGCTTGGACCTAAAACAATAATATTGGGTAATACAGAACGAGTAAAATGGAGTTTACCTCATAACGATGATCAAGAAACTTTCGAAGGCAGTCTGCTTGCTGGTCGAGAATTACAGTATTTGGAGTCATGAATAGCACCTAAACAGGTCCCACCCTTACCAACTTGCAATGAGTCAAACGGCGCAGTTCGGCGGCGAGTGGAGGGGTAATTGTCTTTTTCAGCGCTCACTCGAGTGTGTGTGTTTTTTGCCGCTCACTGTCTTGTCTCGAGCTACCAAGCGATGGATTTATGCACAAACTTGTTAAAGTTATAAACAGTGACAATAGGTGTTCAAATTGTAGAAATGCCATCAACCTAGGTAAAAGAATTACTCTGTCAAGTCTGTGTAAGACAATGACCACGTACAACAGCAAGCAAGCCGGAAAAAAGTGCAAACATGCCCCTGCCCTCTGTCGCCGAACTGCGCCAGTGAAAGCATATCAGTAGCTACCTTCCGGTTGTTAGCTGGTTTGGTTTTTTGCCACTATTCCTGTTCTTCTCCAAGTGACACTTTATAATGTTCACAGCAACGACCGTCTTTCCCGATCCCGTGGGAGCAGCAATGATTGTGTTCATTCCGTTCAACGCTTTTTCGCATAGCTCTTTTTGATAAATCGCCCCGTAGCACAAATTGGATCTCTGGAAAAAAATATAACTAATGGATATTAGAATCAAAATAAAAAAGGTCAGAGGGCGTGGTTTTGTGGGGACAGTGCATGTATTACGATCGCCAGCCCGTCTGTCGGAGAACAGCGGGCGGTCAGCGCGCGTTCTTGTATGTCTGTGAAATTTCAGTGTACGAGCCCCCCTCACACTCACCCTACCATGTTTCCTTTCCCATCTTCTCGTGCCGGTTGTTTTGCCAGTTTTCTAGGCGATTTCTGCACTTTCTCCACCATGAAAAACTTGTCCACCAATGCATAGAGGGGGGAGGCACATGCGCCCCCTATCGAGAGACGATGCAATACGAACTATACTCTGAGTTCGCTCTGCGACGGTTGCCCTGTTAGGCAGTATAAGTTTGTGACGCTCCGCAAAGCCGTTCCTGTCGTGTTGATATGCGCACATGCGAGCAAACAAGTAGGTTAGTTACTACGAGTAATACGAACGATATTATCCAGTCAGAACGGGTTTTGGCACCAAACTCATCCCGCCTGGCTCGTGCAACCACCCGCAGCACGAGCCAGGCGGGATGAGTTCACTATTGCAACCACCATCAATGGAAACATCCCAGAGTAACTTAATCGTACGCGTGAAAAGTGAGGTCCAACCATCAAAGAGCTAGTATCAGGCTCCAAACCTGCGAACGGACCCTTGCCTGGGATATTCTCCGCATAGATATGCTCTGGGCTTGACCTTACCACGCCCACGTTTCGGTGGTCTCCCTCAGGGCCAGGGTAGCCTCTCATCCCTTCAGTGTCGTTCCGTTCCACTGAACTTGTATGGGAGAACAGAAACACCAAAATGTAGGTCCCCGTAGGACGGTCTACAGACCGCATTACGTTCAAAAGCCCCTGTGAATCTGAACAAAAACGGAATGCGTGAAGTATTCCTGAACGGAATAACCGGTTTCATAAGCCTTATTAGTTTCGTCGAATATACAGGGTAAATGATAAAACCCTCGCCGGCTCACCGGCCCCTCTCTTGGGCAATCCGCATTCTACTTCTGTTCAGAATCACAGTGACTTTTTGAATGCGAAGTGCCTATACAAAAGACTTGCGGGCCGCCTGAGGTACAAGTCAGTGTTCTTGTTCTCCCAAACAAATCTGGTACCGTCGCCTAACCGTGCGCGCGGTAGCTTGCCACTTGCCACCTCCGCCTCATGTTGAATATGTTCCTGTATAAAACCTGCCTGCGAATGAACGCTCATCAATTAACTTCAGCAGTCTGCCAGTCAACGTATCATCCTCACACGAAGTCGATGGTAGATCCTCATAATTTAAATTTACTTTAGATTTTCTTAAGCACAAGTTTAACAGCCGCTGCCGGCAACTATAGCCAACAAACATTCAAAATACCAACTTCGATACCGGAGAATTTTCATCGATTATATCATCAATCGGCACATCCGGTGGACAAAATGTAATAATTCCACGAGGAGAAGTTCTTTCTTTATCTAGTAATTCTGAAATTAACATCTCAGTGATCTATGGCTATAGAAACCTTAAATATCCTCAGAATTCGGCGCACTTCGGCGACGGGGGGGGATGCATTTTGTACATGCTTCCTGTAGTCGTTGCGAGCCATCACGTAAAGAATTGTGAAATCTTGTGGAAAAAAAGCTATACTAGTCAAAGCTTGTAAAAACTACTTGTCAACTCTTGTAAACAAAACCTATCAACTCTCGTAAAGTAATGAACATGGCAATGAGAAGCTGAGAAAGTTCAAAATACCCCCTCGCCGAAGTGTTAAAACCTTTTACTTACCATAGAACCGAAGAAAATTAGGATGCAATTTGTTAACGAATTCTTTTGACGCCTCTGAATTGTCA